TTACAGGCTACAAGAAACTACAAGAAAAACATTGGGAAAAAAGCAGGATTTAAAAAGGCTAAGACAAACAAGCAATTATTGCTTTGCTACCATATTTCTTAATGAAGTTTGTTTACAGCAACAACATTGCAAACAGTTCTAAAATATCTATTTTTTCGGGGGTCTTTTCAAAAACTTCATGCAACCCTTAGCTTTTTTCCGTTTATGGCCTTCAAAACAAAGTTATTCATCAATCAGTTTACATTCAGTTCAAACTGTTTCATACTTGTACGCATTTAAACTACCCCAAGTTTCACATGACAACTTACTGAGCTGACAGTGTGAAAAAGCAAACACTCACTCACATCCATATGTAAAACTGTTCTTCTCTGTCAAAAACATGGAACTCCTTCAGGTTTGGTTACCTTCAAAAACACCAACATGTTGCCTACAAGCATTGTTTTTGAAAACTCTTGACTTTTAAAGTACTTTGACCATCAAAAGAGTTTACTGTAGTCCCTCGCTACTTCGCAGTTCTTCGACTCATTTTTCATGTTTTTTTAACAAAAAATTGTACACAACACACGATTGTCAACTTTAATATTACTCACGTGATTGGGACAGTACGAGATAAAAAGTGAACAAAAAAAAATTACTTTTGACAGATGCCGCCATTTTGTAGTTTTCTTTCAATAAACCTATACTGTAACGCAAGTCAAAAGAACTGCATTACCCAGAAGACAACATTGCTTAAGGCTGCTGCTTTTTGCTGAAATGGAGCGAAAGTTTTGCAACGCAGTCAGAAGTAATGATCTAGAGTAGCTATTAAGCATTCAGAACTGGCAGGAAAGTCACAAATAATCCTGACACTTCCTGAAGCTCAAAAAAAGGTTGAATGAAAAAAATCCATGTGCACATCAATCTGGTCGAGGCAGTGGGCTTTGTCATGCTGCAGGGTAGGTCTGCTGAACCGGAACAGAGCCCAACTGGAACCGAGCTGCTGGTCTGCAGAGCTGAGTAACATATATAATTTGGTAGTACTTTACAGTACTTATACATGTTGTTAAAATTACATAGGTTTAAGAGTTTAGAATATTGTTAAGAACATTGCAAGTGTGTGGAAAGGGTTTATAAAGCCTTAAATTATATATAAATATTAAAATTAATGGAGCGTTACTACTTCGTGGTGTTTCACCTATCATGGTGGTTTCTGAAACGTAATCCTTGCGATCATCGAGGGACTACTGTATCTGCAAACCTGACAAAATGAGGTGCTTCAAGAAGATTGAAGAATGTTTCAAATTCACATGAGTGACTATCAGCAGATGGGATTTGGAATATTGACAGGGGAGGTTTTATGTCATAGCGTAGAAAAACAGATCAATGATTAAAACTTCAAAGACCTATGTAACTCAACTCCAGCTAAAGAAACAAGGAGATCTTTGAATAGGGTAGTAGGTGTAACAAGAAAAAATAATTGAGTGAAGTAGGACTAAGAGTTCAAAAAGTACAAAACTAAGAGGTGGCATAGGGCACGCCTAATCATACATTTACAAATGAGTCACCAAACGAAATTCCATGTCTCATTCATCAGAAAAGAAGCACCTCATTATCCTTTGTGGCTCTCATCCATCTATGTCACATTAGGGGCATATGAGTTTAGAATAAAATTGCCATGTCATGTCTGGCTCTTTTGTCTGGCACTAGTACAATCAAGTGGGAAAATTTCATGTTGATAGGGTTTTTGGTCTGCATGTAAAATGTAGCCGCTTTTTAATGGCTTTGTTCGAAGCACATCATTACATTCACAGTTAATGTTTCAGCAGTATGTTGAAAATAATTCACTATTTCCAAACGTGAGCACACACAGACATGATGCCCATGCATTCTGCATGCAACACTTCTACTGTGGAGAGTGGAGGCAGCCAAGTGAAAGGCATATTAGAAAGCAGGGGATATTGATTGTGGCTGGGGACGGTCTGCGCTTTGCATAGCAAATGGCCCCCATTACCATACCATCTCTGGATAATTAATGTGCAGTCAGTGGGCCTGTCGTTCGTTATCGGTCATTCTGATACTGTTCAATTTTCATCTCAACCTAGTGCTTCTCTCAGGGAGCAACGCTCTTCGGTGAGCTCCTTCCCTTGCCATGCTGTTTTATAAATCACACACAAAAACCCTGGTCAACGAGTGTCTGCAGCTATCTCGCCCGAGGAAAGATGCTATCGCCATGCAACTGCCTTGCGTCCTCTCATTATTCCAACATTAGCCAGACACAAAGGCCATAGAAGGCTCTTGAAATTAGCATTTGTGTGGCATTTAAGTAGCAGTATAAACCTGCTGTGAGTTGTGTGGCATTTTAGGTGTAATATCATCCCACTGTGAATTGCCTTGCTCATATTTGTTGCTCTCATCTGATATATTCCTTATGGGTAGAAATAAGTAATCACTGTTAAGTCTACATATTACTGAAATAAATTGTGCAAGAGTTAAAATCAGAAAACACTGTCACAAGTCAATAACCTTTCATGACAATTTTCACTGATAGTGAAGTGCACTTCTGTTTCAGTGGCAACAACAATTAGTCTGAAAAGTAAAAAACTTTTGTTACTGCAGGATATTATTTCTAAAGGACCTCTGCTTCATAGTTTCTTTTCCCAAGTGCTTGTGTAGGTTTAAAAATAGGCAGCTTTACCCCAAGCTGCATCACAGGGATGAGATTTGCGGTCCTAACAGGCCATGCAGATTGCCATTACTTATGCCTGACAAGCCTACCCTCTGATGTTTCCATACTGGCCTATTTTAACAACATAAGCTGCTGCTGCCGCTCACGCTGCTACCAAGATGTGAATTTCCAAACTAGCTGAAAAAGCTTGTCCTGGGGTATTATTGAGGTTCCCAGAATACATGTGGGCTGTCTAGTCTCTGGTGCAGGGCGGGTGAAACACAGAAACATAAACTGACAGAGAAACATTTTACCTGAGCTTGTCAAACAAGGTTTCCAATAGAATCAAAGTGTGAAGCTGTGTGTCCATGACTGAAATAACAACTCACCTTTATGGAAGAAAGGCTTCTTCATACCATCAGGAAGCCTGGCTTTACGTTCAATACCATAGCCATGCCGTGGGCCATGGTCTTCATGAGTGTACCTCACTCCATCCCTTCTCGCTGCCTCGGCTGCCATTTTATCCCTCATTGCCTTGGCGCGTTCTGACTCTAGTGCAATTGCTTTTTCCAGCAGAGACAAATTTCCTTTTGTCATATCAAACACTTCCTCTGATCGGTCTGATGTCACCGAGGCTGTGTCTTCATCAAAATCTCTGTGGTTGTTGGTGTGATATCGTTCATCATGTATACAACTAGAAAAGGCCTTGGAGCGTGGGCTTAGCTGCTCCTCAAGCTTCATGAGATTGTCCATATCGGAATAGTTCCTATCAAGTGTCCTCCTATCGTCTTGGCTATTGTGAAAATCTCCATAGCCGTGATGCTGGGGTTGTTGATTGGGGTCCCCACATGAGAAATGATTTTGCTGGGATGGTCCATTTCGATCGAGAGGCTTTGTTTCACTTAGTTTCCGAGCCAAGTCAAAGCATTGGTTCCTTAGGCACTCCAGACTGCTTAAACATACTTCCTCATCACTGTTTTCTATTTGTCCATTACTAGTGGTCCTCATTTGTCCATTGCCACCAATGTGTGTATTTCCTCCATTGTGAGAACAGTCATTCCCATCCCCAATCCCAACTGTACTGTTCGGAAACTCCTGCCCATCTAAGCTGTCGGACAGAACAGCACCATGACCCTGTGCCAGCAGTTTTAGGGAGTCCACTGTTTCCCGAACCACATCACTGTCAACATCCAAAGTCAGATCTTCTCGCTGCCTTTCATCTCCTTCTTCATCTTCGTCCTCCTCCTCTTCCTCCTCCTCTTCCTCATCCTCCTCATCCTCCTCTTCTTCTTCTTCCTCCTCCTCGTCCTCCTCATCATCTTCAGCGCTATTGGACGAGTTGCTGTTCATCTCGGATTCGGTCATGGCGCGGTTGGCGGCATCCTCTGCGATCTTGCCCAGGTTGAGGAGGGATTTGGCCACGAGCTCATCGTAGTTTTCATACTCGTCATTGTTGTTGTCATCCTTCTCTGTCACAGGGCCAGATTTTCCACTGCCATTGCTGCCTCCTCTGCCATAGTTCTCTTCTTCCCCCTCACCAGTGCTCATCTGATCGTCCTCTGCTGGAGAAAAAGAACAAACGTTTTGTAATTCCATTTCTGTCATTCCATTTTACTGGTAAATCAGATTTATGGGCATGGTCCATCTAAATTGGATGAAGAACTCTTGCTTCCCCCTAATAATTTACTTTGAGAGTCTTAACAGCAGCTTGTGTTCTGAATTGTGAATCACTACAGGAAGTTAAATTTAGCGGTTTGGGAGAGTCATAAACTGAGATGCCCTATGAATAAAATAACTATAGAGCTACTGAAAAGTCCAGTTTAGCAGTAAAACCCTTGATTCCTTTAGAAAGAGATCTCCAAATGTCTAAATAATACTGCAAATAGTTTCAAAATGATTCAAAATGCTGTGAATAAAAGCACTTTTTGAAACCTAAAATCTGAGCAATAATTTGTTCCGTCTGTAATATGATGAACTCCAGTGAGCGTCTATTCATCATTTGCTTATGAAGTTCATTTTCATAAAATCATCAGTATCTTTGGAATTCCTTTCAGTGCCTAATTGATTCTGACAGACTGCAAAAGGTTACTGAACCTCTTCTGTCAGTAAATTCAAGCACTCACTCCTGGAGCACTTCCAATCTCTCCTTTCACATTTCCGCCCTGAGCCGCCGAGAGCACATTGCTCATATTGGCATCACATTTGCCACTTACATTCCTGTGGAGAAAATGCACCCAAAGGGCCACTCACACTCACAGGGATAAGGAATGAGAGTTTTCATCATTTTGGTGGGAGCAAGCAAACCCCAAGACTGATAAAAATGAACAAAAAATCTTGGTAACTGTTAGTTAATAGATATCAATTTCCACCATACTAGAAAACATCTAAAAGTACAATAAAAACAATTATTTAAATTTGATTTGACAAAATCTGTTTACTTTGCTCACTACATAGATTTACCTCAATCAAACACTGTGCACATACACATTTCAAATAATGCGAGTACCTCAGTATTACTGCTTGGCAGGAGAGGGCTTTAGAGCGGGAAGAGGGAACAGTCACGAATGACCAAGCACATATTTTGACAGCAGAACGGCTTCTTACAGCAACCTTCTGCACCAGGGGTTTAATTTTTGATGGTATGAAACATGGCACAGGGAAGCAATTTGAAGAGCAATCAAGGTACACAAAAGGGATATGGAAGTGAAGCAGATTAAGGAGGGAACAGAGGGACTGCCCTACCCTGAACTGGCGTCGGATTAGCAACAATAGATGTGCACGTTGCAGAGAAACACAGAAAAGCTACAGATTCACCTGCAGATTGGAATCTACCTGAAAGCTATTGAGTGTGAAAGGAAACTTTGACAATGATGCATATGAAAAGAGCTCATTTTTATTCTCATGAGGAAAATATAGTAAACCCAAATGCTGTGACTCCAATATTCATGATTATAGAGCTCAACACAGAGAAGGCTTTGCAGGATTCATGCTAGCAACAACTGCACATATATAGCCCTTATCAAAAGTAGAAGGTAATAACTAGCTACACATTGAAACAGAGACAATGACAGGTCAACGAGATGGCAGCATGGTCGTAGCGTGAAGAATAAGACCTTGGCCCTGAACTGTAATGAACACCAGTCTGCAGAAATGTTTTTACATGTCTGCAAAAAAAAAAAAAAAAAAGAAGGAGAAATAGGAACGTGGCTGCTGAGATGCCACATCAACACTTTGGGAGGATAGAGCTGCGTGCCAAACACGGTTAACACGCTCCTCTCTCAGTGCTTCACTCTTAATTGGACTTGAAGGCACTGTCAGGTCCAATCGTGATGCGTGGGTGGAACGCCGAATCTGCTGGAGAAAAACCTGCCAGATCTGGTGTTTGGCCCAACACAGAGGGAAGGGGAGGTAACATATGGGGCAGGAGTTTCTCAAATCCCAGTCCCAAAACTAGGTAGTATTTTGTATCATGTCTTCAAGAAAAGCATATTTCGGTTAGACTGGCAACAACTTCTATGCTTTGAAGAATTTAAAATCACTGAGAGATTTGAACAGTTAATGATTTTGATGCTAGGAATTTGTTGATCAATCATTGATTCAATTTATTTCAATGAATTTCCTTGAGACTGTTTTATTATATTTGAAAGCACTTGCAAAATAGGACATTGCTAGTTTTTTAATTGTTTGCATTTCCTTTTTTGTTTTATTGCAAGTTTAGATTTAGATTAATCAATAAAAGGCCTAGTATTTGTTAGCAACAGTTTTCTAAGCAACTTAGACTTGATCGAAACAACCAATATGGCCAATGAAAACCCACAGTAATATGAATCAGAAAGTGAGAACTTTGGTTGACATAAATAACAACTAGTGTCTAAGAACCCTCATTGATTTTATAACACAATGCAATTGCAGATATTTCACAATATACCACAATGGAAAAAAAAATATTCTTATTCATGTCAGCTGCATTAGACAATTTCATGGCATGCATTAGAAAAGTTGACAGAAAGCAGACGAGCGCAAATAATCTGGAACAAACGATTACGGTATTCTAATTTTATAGACATGTTTAAGGAATAAAAAAACTTGTTTGTGAAATTAATGCAACTTTTGTAACTAATTAAAAATATTTACCAACATCTAACAATATGCATCAACATTTTAACTGTTGTTTTAGCTGCTTTGTGATAGATATTTTCTTGGCAAAGGTAAGAAAATTGGCAAAGTAAAAAGGATCAGAAATGTATTGGTGAGAATAATATTGAACTTTTTATTTTTTTACATTATCACAGTAAAACAGCTTCTACTGCTTAAATTTACAAATGTATAAAACTTCCAATTTAACCTTTTACAAAATATTTTTTTATATATCTTAAACTTTTTAACTAAAAATATTTTGTACATTCAAGTCATTTTAATACAAGATGAAGAGGAAGTGCCCTCACCTTGCCCTTGATTATGCTCTTCTCCCTCCTCCTCCTCCCCGTCTTCATAGTCCACATCCTCTATTGCTTCCTCCTCCTCCTCTTCTGCTTCCTCTACCCTTACTTCATCACCTTCCTCTTCTTCCTCCTGCTCCACCTCTACCTCCTCTTCTTCCTCTTCTTCTTCTCCATCTCTTCTGTCCTCCTCGCCGTCGTCGTGCTCCATTTGTTCTACATTATAGTCCATGTAGCCTTCTACATCTTCCTCTTCCTCCTCCACTTCCTCCTCTTCTTCTATGGCTCCCTCTTCCTCCTCTTCCTCCCTGTCATCCATCTCCTCAGTCCCATCAGTCTCGTAGCACTCCTCCATTGTGGAGTTATCCATGTCATCAAGGTAGGTGCTCCTCTTCGGTGACGTTTCTAGAGTTTGTCTGTCTAGACTTTTCCTCTTTTTGGCTGCTGGGCAGCCATACACACTGCATGGGGAGAGAGAAGAGGGCAGCTGTTAGTTATGAGCACTACCTGCCCATAAATGTTAATGTTCATCTCTATTAATGACTCTTTGTTAAAGCTTTGCAGTTTATTAACTAAATTGAAAAGATCACAGCAGAACATAGGAGAACACTGCGAGGAATGCGGTGTCTCTCAAGTTCTTCTGAAACCAAAATCTGACTTCACCGACTTTAATTAGATGTGCTCATTAACGATTGAGCAGTTATGATAAAATGCTCCATTTCTTCCAGAAAGTAGTTACAAAAGACTCCGTCTCTGAATGAAACAAAGCAGAGATTTTAGCATCAATTTGCTCTTCAGGCAAAAGAAAATCACAATTCGTGCCTTGCAAAAATGCCTCCAAACTGATACACACACACCTGAAGTGAGAGCAGCAAAACACAACAGCTTGTCTGGAATTAACTGAAAGTGGGAACAAACCTGCTGCCCGAAAATTGAATCTTACCAAGGCAGCCCAGGTTTTAATGTATTCTTTGGCTCTACTCAGCACCGGAGGGACAGATCCTAATCTGATAATCTGATAATCTGTGTATTTGCTCAGGCTATTGATCACAGAAGCCTATTCCATTTGATTCATCAAATCTCACAGACTCCTGAAGCATGCGTGTGATTTTAGAATGCCCTCACACAGTTAGTATTATGAGCATCCTGGCCATCAAATAAACACTGATGCTGGAGTGTAAGAGAGCCACACACACTCTGGGCTTGTTCACTCAGCTGTGAAATATCCCCGTTCTTTCTTTTTTTTTTTTACAACCTCTGGATGTTTTATTTTATTTATTTTTTTGGCTCAGAGTAAGACAATGTGAATAAAGGGTACAAAGATGTAAGAGGGAAAAAAAGTGTTAAAAAGCTTATTTTTTTGCTGTGTATTTTATGTCACTGTGCACCACTATGCAATATCCTATCCATCCTCTCACACACTTCCATCAGTCAGTCAGGCTAAATCTTACCTAGCCCAGGGATTCCTTAATGGTCTGACCCCCAGCACCACCCGCGATCAGGGGCCTCATTTCATTAATCCAAGCCTACATGGAAACTCATTCCCTGCCTGACAACCTCTCCCCCAGGCAGTGAGAGGGTCTGCGGGACAGTGAGGGAGGGAAGGTTGTGCTGCGGCACAGTGATCAATAGTGCTTGTGACCAAACATCTCGAAAGCACATTAAAATGCCACTCATCTTGGCTGCTCTGTTCCAGGGCCCTCTCCAAATAAATCAAGGTCTGGTCCCAGCAGGTTACTGGCTGCCAGTGTAGGAGAGAATTGGTGTGAAAGGTAGATAGACAAAGGTTCTCACCCTTCTCCTATTGCCTTGTAATCTGGCCTTGCATTGTTCTTCCTTTTTTTTAAACAATAAAACAATTGCAAGGTAGTTTTTTTTTCTTGTCAAACTTTGAGCCAAGCCAAAACAAGTCCAGATGCAAGACCCGCACCTGAAAACGTAATTAATGCAAAATAAGCTAATGGATGCCACATACTAGCTGATGGGCTGTGTGTTTTCATTAAAGGAAGTCTAGTACTTTTTATCATTTGGGATTGTTTCAAAGCTAGATGCCTTTTGGCATTGTGTTCTGCTAAAACATTAGCGGAGCAAATGTTTGAATCAAAGGACTTGGGCCAAGAAAAGAGACCACCTCACTGAATGTAAATGACTTTTATTGCACACATACCAACTTTAAATGTCTTCCCGTCCCTGAGCTGTCAGGTTGTTACAATACTCTGAGCCCTGTGTTTTCCTCGCTCCTCCCGAGCTCCACAATGACTAAAGCTGCAGGAAGCCTCGGCTGCTTCTCAAGCTCTGTCACTGAGTGACCTTGGCTGCAACATTCACCATCACAAGCTCTCCATCCAACTCACCGCACGTAGCAATTAAAATTCCACAAGTAATTAAGTGGCATTTCAACTGAAAGAAAAGACCAAATCTGCAGGTACGTTGTGAAGAGAAAGGAAGGCAACGAGAAAATAATGCACCATTCTAAGTTTCCCTTCTGCTTTGTCCTCTGGCAGCAAGACAGAATCTTCTGAGAGGTGTGTGCAGAATGGGAGGTTGCAATCAAAGAAGAAAAGAGCTCCAGATTACAAAAAGACCACTTGATATTTTTATAGAGTGGTCATCCTTAACATTACAAGATGGAACAAATTCTATTACAGTATGAACAAGGGGCCCCTTAATGCAGAATGACTCCTTCTTAAAGCCGTGTACTGAAAGGACTCCTGTTCTATGGAGCACTAATGTGAGGCAGGAAAAAGGAGTGGCAGGAGACAGAGAGCTCCTGTTTGGCTAATTTCAGTCGACAGTTGAGCGACTGCTGGAATGCGACAGCGTTCCACTGTGCCTTTATTAGCAGTCATATTAGCGGCTGTTCACAGCAGGGGCAAAAGCTTTAGCCAGTCATTAGCATCACACACTATTTGTCTACCTGACGCAGGGATAAAGGTGCTGTTGCCTTTCCTCCTGCCTCCTCTTCCATGCATCATCTCCCTCTGCCACCATACATTCGCACTTTATATTTCTTCCTCAATTTATTTTACAGTAATCATCCCACACCTGCCACGTTTTCTTCCATATATCCACTCTCTCAACATTTACTTAGCATATTTAACATTTTTAACATTATGTCTTCAATACAGTTTTCACTTTTTCCTCATTTCCTCCCACAGTACTGCTCCCTTCATCACACTTTTGTCTCCAAAGAGACATGGAGGGAATGCACCACCTCCGACTGTGCTCCCTATCCAGCAGGAGGATCTATAGACACGTGTGGCAGAGCCCCGTCTCCATGGTGATACCCTCCAGAAATCCACGAGGGATTCACCATCCTCACAGCCAGCCAGAAAGGAAAAATGAGCGAGAAAGGAAGGCATGGAGAGAAAATGAGGGGTAGGGAGGAAAATTAGAGGCTATAGGAGGCGAGACAGATGGGAGAATATATGTTTTTTTGTGCATTTTTGTATGCAGGCCTCTTTTGTGTGTGCAGGAAACTGGGAAATATAGGGTAGGGGAGGCAAAAAGAAAAGGATGGTTTTGTGTGTGAAAGAGGAGAGAGGATCATTTCAGAGCTGTCAGGCTTCTCCCGCTAGCAGAGAACAAAAGACTGTGACTTGGTGCAGGAGGCTCAGCACATGGCAGACGCTGCAATTTGGGGCGTTTGTTGGCGGCTCAGGCTCCTGCTTGGATATCTACTGCTTTGGACCATTCACACACACTCACACACACACACACACACGCGTGTACATACATCCGGATGACTGTCAGGCTGTCCTAAAACTCATAAAATATAACTTCATAGCTGTGGTCTTAGAATGCTTGTGCAAGTGGATATTTATGTGCTGTAATTTTGTTTATGTGTGAATTTATGGAAGTTTTTATGTCATGATGAGTCACATTTATTAAATGAAGTTACAAATTTTAACATATCGTATTTAAGAAAACAAGCCATATGCTTGACAGTACATTCATTCATTTCATTTGTTTTGACTAGTAAATTTGCTTCGTGTCTCACTGGTTAGATTGAAATCAACATTGTATTACTAAACCTAGTTATAACCTTGTAAAAAACTTATTAGTGGATAATACAAATCATTATCAGACATTAAATGGAAAGGTGGATCTTCCAGGTGTAATACAAATAACTATTAGTTGCCAAATCCAAATCCTTTTTGGATTTTCCTTCTCCAGTAGTTATCACATTCTTCTTTTGTGGAACCAACTTCCAGTTTCTGTCCGTGAAGCTGACACGCTGTCTACTTTTAATTCTAGCTCAGATTTAAATAGTCCAACAAAATCAAGATTTAATGCAACGTGCTGGCGTTCTTAGATCGATTTTATTAATTTACATTATGTGATGTAAAGTATGTGAATGTTTCTGTACAGTGCCCTGAAATGACTTTTGCTGTGAATTGGCACTAGATGGATAATCTGAATAGACCTACATTAGTACTATTTTTCTCTCGTTCCTGATTAACATGTTGGCTGCCGTTTATATTTCAACAGAGACATATGCTACAAGAAATGCATATTTCTGCTTAATATAATTTCAAGAATCACACTTAGATCAAAATGTATTAATCATAGACTACAAAACCCAATATTACAAGGTTATAAATCAGTTATGTTTTAGACTTGTCCTGTTCTGTGCAGTCCTTGACATTTGTTCCAATGTGACTGTTGTTTCAACTTCATTTTGCCTGGATACTGTACAACCACTCTCATGGCCAAGTTACATGTGTCATTGAAAGTTATCAGTACCACTTTACAATAAGGCTCCCTTCATCCTTGGCTAACAAATAGTTTATAGATATGTTATTAATTCCCCATAAACACTTTATAAATCATTAATAACTGCTTATTATGAATTATTTATGGGTGGCAGAGATAAAATTGACCAGTTTCTTGACAAATAGTGAGCCAAATCTGTTCACCTATATATTTCATCTATAGTTGTTATATTAAACATTTCACACCAAATTACTACCTTATAAGCACAACAACCATTTGTAAACCTATTTCTTTAGCATATAATATTGTACTTTATCACTGCATTATAAGTATTTAAAACTAATATTAGATCCTAAAAAACATTGATTTACAAATTTGAAAAATCTTGGTGTTATTTTTGATTAAGACATTTATTTTATCCCTCACATTAAAAACGTTACTAGAACTGCTTTCTTCCACCTGCGTAATATCACTAAAATTAGAAACATCTTATCTAAAAATGATGCAGAAAAACTGGTTCATGCATTTGTCATGTCTAGACTGGATTATTGCAATGGTTTATTATCTGGATGTCCAAATATGTCTTTAAAAAAGTCTTCAACTGATCCAAAATGCTGCTTCCAGAGTCTTAACTGGAGTTAGTAGGAGAGATCATATTTATCCTGTTTTAGTTTCTCTCCATTGGCTCCCTGTCAAATCCAGAATAGAATTCAAAATCTTACTTCTAACCTACAAAGCTCTCAAC